TCATATTGATCGTTAACCGCAACTTTTTAATCGAAGACCAAATAGGTGACATCCGTAAGCTTGAGTCTACGATCTGTGCTCGAGTGCCATGTTTCATTACTGGCAATACCAGTCTAAAATCACCTCCCATAATCATTATTTTCCCACCAAATGGAAGTCTCACCCCAGTGATGTCTTGCATTGTTCTATCGAGTGCCTCTACTGCCTGCCTCTTTGCCATTGATGCTTCATCCCAGATGATTATTTTTGCGACTCGAAGCAGTTGAGCAGTTCTGCTTTGTTTTTTTTATATTGCACACCGAATTATTACTAAGAGTAAGGGGAATCTTGAATCGAGAGTGAGCTGTTCTCCCCCCCGGCATGTTATTAGCGGTAGCACCGGATGAAGCGGTTGCGATAGCAATAAGTCCACGGGAACGAACATTAGCTAGCAAAGCTCTATACAAAAATGTTTTCCCAGTTCCACCCGGTCCATCTACAAAAAACACAGTTGGACAATCATTATCTACATGCATCATGATCTCATCAAATGCATGTTTCTGGTCGGAATTTAGAGAGTTTCGACCATTTAAGTCTTCGTCTTGCACAATTATAGAGTACTCCTCTTGTACCTCACGAAATCCTCGTGATTCTAAATTGACAGCTGCATTTAAACTTGGAAGATCAAAATCATCGAGGTTCTTACCCATAGATTGTAAAAAGACGGCGATGTCTGTAAGAACCATATTTCGGACCCCCTCAACATTTTCGTAGTCTCGTCTATAATCTTCAGAGAGTGAATCATAATGTTCATCCCATAACTTGCGAACATCTCCCGGCTCACAATAAATCAAGATCGTCGCGAATAATCGTCTAAGAGCATTGGGAAACTGAAATAAGGAGGCATCGACAAGACAATGCGATAAATTATCGTCGATCTCTATTAAACCTCTCTCAAGTGCTGCTTTGCGAAATGTTGGATGTATAATGCCATTAACCGTGTAAAGATCTTCAAAGCACGTGGGCCCACTAATATGAAACAGAAGTAGTCGTAGATAATATCATTCCCCTTCGGCAGGATTAGCATGAACCAGTCGTCCTCTCATTGATCCTTGTTTTTGAGGATTCCATTTACGTGAACTGGCATTCCATGTGTAATGTTTCGGAAAATCTTTGTATAAATATTGTCTCGCATTCATATCTGTTTTATTCCTCTCAAAAAATGCGGTCAACATTGAGCTCTTGTCTCTCTCTCTATCAACGATATCTGCCATTATATCATTCTCTCTGAACCTAACCAGCTGCTTATTCGGAAGATGGACCTGCAAAGCCATCACATAAGGGTGGATTTGAGAAAGTGGAAAGCTAAAAATCCTCCAAATTGCCTCAGGTGGCGAAACATATCGTGCATCTTGAAATCTTTTTATCTCGTTGACAATGACCTCTTCTGTATCAGGATCGACATGAATAACCTGTTTGTTATGACCCTTGTAAACATATTTGAACACATACTTCACATATATTATACTTGAGCAAACCTCAACTTTGATGTGACAGTTAAACATCATTAGCAACTTTGGATTATATGGGACCACCCATCTATTATCAAGAATATTTCCCCGGACGTTCACCTTTATTCCATTGTTTCTCCTCCGATACATCGGATATGAGTTATCTATCTGCATCGTCTTGTCGTTGAATTGTTGAGGATATCTAAAACGACATTTTCTCGGCTCACCTTCCATACAAGGGCTAGACGGTCATAAATGGCCGCAAGGACCATGCATCATGTGCTTTATCACCAGCTCGTGCATTTCAGGATACTTTGTCGGGTCCGGGATTTCAGCATAAACTATCTTATCGTAATGGTCTGGGTTTGTAATCTTGTGTTCCGGTTTCATTATCATGAGGATATGTGCATGTGGCAAACCACGTTTTTGAAACTCGATGACATAAACATATGCCCCAACCTCCGAGGATGTTCTTCTTGAAGAGTTGATTTTTAAGATCCTCTAATTTGGCAAGAAAAACTCTTGCAACAAGGTCCGGCATATCTTGCGCTGTTTGACCAGGCAATAACTCTTTAAGAATTTCAGGCCACTTCGGATTACACGTCATGGTAAGAAATATATCGGGTTTCCCGTCATCTTGAACTAAAGTCATAGCATCCATAAATGTTCTTCGCATATCACGTGGACCTCGAATAAAACTTGCAGGAAGCACAACCCGTTGTCCAATTCTACTTGGTTGAACCTCACCGGCATTGACGCAATCCACAACACCTTGGTATAAGTCTGATCTTATCTTCGTTTGATTCCTTTCAATAAAAGACAAACGTGTAGTCTCTATCTTGATGTACATATCTACCACGAACTGTTGAAATAATCTTCCGCCTAATAGAATGACGTTATTACTCGACCGAATTTGGAACTTGTAACAATAATAATCTCGCATTGTTACAGTTTTCCTACCCCTTCATGAGCTAACCTCTGCATAGTATCGAATTTGAATCATATAGATTAATAAATGAGTGAAGAAGGTAACACATATATGTGACAATGTTCATACCTTCATGATCTTCGTCGAAGATTTCGTTGTTATTAACAATTTCATCAATGCACACTCCATGTCTGGGTATTCTAGCATGCCATCCAGACTCACCGTTGGGAAAAAACAAAGGATAAGACAAAGGATCATAGCAACCATAGTGATGTTCAATTTTTYTACTGTAGTCAGACCTCCCATACACAACAATACTTCTCTTGTATGCAGTGATATTGTCATTGCCTTCCACCCAAATACCAGCAACCTGTAGAATGTTAGAATTTGCTTCAATACCATGCATATGATACATTTTATTATAAAAAAGATAAAATAAGTACTTGTATTTCAACCTCATATGTGGTCGGTCGGTTGTACACCCTCTGATCAAGTTCCACAGAAGCATTCAAAGTGACTCTATAATTATCGAGTGGTCCTAGCTCGGCAAGGCTTCGAAATGTTCTCACGTATGGGTTTATAGAAAGAACACGAGTCAACATTTCAATGACGTTTCTATCAAGATTTGGCCATTGTAGTCTATGCGAAAGCTCAGATTCGGCATCATAAAAATAAAGTTGTAAGTACCGAGGGTGTCCATCCCTCGGAACTAACTGATCGATTCTATGATATATGCCCCCTTGAGCATGAAACGTATATACTCCAGATGTCATATTGCTCACTGTACTATCCAAAGTTACCCCCATTGACGTGAAGGAAAAGTTTGTGTTGTATGCACGAATATTGTGCCTAAACATTTCGCCTAACTCTGATTGTGTTGTAAATAAATTGTATAATTCTTCTAGAATGGGTGAGTATGCCAACTTTGTCTTTCCACTCATGCAACAAAAGGAAGAGAATTCAAATTCGAACCGCTTTGCTCCACAATGTTCACATGCATTTTGTTCATTCAACACACGATGTTGTTTAGGGACACCATCATAAACAAAATTGTATGGATCCTCCTGTTGGATCTCAACATTTATATTATTTTTCTTGTTTCGTTGATAATAGTTTCGATTAGTAATTATTCTCCTTTGAACGCCTAAGAAAGATATTTGAATACAACAAATAAATATTATTATTATAAAGAACTACGAAACTCGAGTTCAAAAAAATCGAGTTTGAAAAGAAATACTAACTCATCGATTCTTGATTAGCAGCTTCGTCAAAAAGAGGTAGCAATCTTCCATTCTTATTTATAACGCCTATGGAAAAAAAACATGTCAATTAGTTTAAAGTTTATATGAACACCAAAGTTTCTAAAGTGTGTATAACCGGATGGTATTTACCGTTGACGTTTCGTTGATAATAGTTTCGATTAATAATTCTTCTCCTTTGTGCAAAAGTTAGGGTATTGGCAGGAGTTGTTTCATTGATATTCTCTTGTGTTGTCTCAATTAGAGAGATATCTCCCATGTTTGACATTGATTGACTACTTCCTTCACCAAATGCAATTTTCCTTTTTTTCTTCATCTCTTTTTGTTCTGCATAATAAAGTCTATTGTATTAAATTTTATTTTTAATTTTTAAATATATATAATTTTTAAATATATATATAAAGTACATGAAAAACTAAAATGTATTATTATTATGTATTCCACATACCTTTTGCTATATCAAAACTAACTTGAGGACCATCAACATTTGCACTTCCTTTATCGACAATCCTCATTATGCACCTTAACTACATAAAATAAATAAATATTGTCGCACATCACTTATTTACAAAACATTCAAAAAACATTCACCAATATAAAATAAATAAAAGTTGCACATGATTTATTTCCGACATATCTAGATCGTTCACAATTTTGATTGAAGGCGTAGAACACAAAATAATTCATGATCAAAATATTCAAAAAACATTCACTGAATACAAATCAATGTTCAAAACATCATTCAACCAATACAAAATAACGTAAGCATGACACATGTTTTTATCTCCAAAACAATCACAAAAACCCTAACCAATTTGGTAACAAAATTTTAACTCAACAAAACTTTTATGTTGTGGGCTTCCGGCATATCTGGATCGATCACATACTTGGTTAACGCCGTAGAACTCAAAATATTCACTGAAAATATTAGAAAATATAAATTTAGTAGAGTTAATATAATATATAAAGTAGAATAAAAACATAAATTATTAAATAATATATAACATACTTGAATTTAAATGAATAAGTTTAACCCGAGATGCATAAAATATAGAATTATTTTGTATGGCTCGAGCAATCCGCACAATACGTGTATGCTGAGTATCGTACAACCTCAACTTTATCATGTACCCCCTATTAAAATAGTAAACTTAGTAAAACAATTTAAATAATTTGAAAATTTGGTAAATATTTAATTTTTGTACAAAATGCAAACTTACGTTCCATCTTGTAAAAATAAATCACATGAGCCCAATCGAAAGACACGATCGCCCCGCACATACTTAACTCGTCCTCCCTTTATGATTTTGCCAACAACATCTAACATAAGATATTTAAATCTAAATATTAGATATTGATTTTTGATATGAGAAATGTATATATATTTGATAGAAGATTTTAATCTACCTATTGTCATCTTTCTTGTACTCCGATCTTCAGCAAGAGTTTTTATTGAAGGCACCGATGGATATAACACAAACCCTCTTTCAATTTCACCCGTTAGTGGGATTAACTTGGTGTTTTTACTGATGATGATGATCCATTCGCCACGAACAAAACTATATTTTTCATACTGTGGGTACTCATGGCAAGTTCTTTCAATTTGAAAATGTTCCAAAGAAAAAACACCTTCCAACAAATTTCTTTGTTTGTAGAAATTCAGTAAACCACATGAAACAATTGCTGCCATTTTGTCTCTCTAATGTATAAAATATATAATATTATATTTGTTAGTATATTATAAAGAGAAATTTAATGAGAGCAAAACTAAAATATAAATATTTTCACTTACGTTTCGGTCAAGAAAGATAAGATATAGTTTTTTTGCTTCTACATCTTCCCAAACAAATTCTACACGAAGAGTGGAAAAATTCCACCAGACATGAGGTTGTTGTAATGATGAAAATACTTCGGCATAAAAATGTGAATCCATTTTCTACAAATTAAAGATAGAATATGAAACACATATATTAAAAAAATATTCATTCTTTTTGAAAAAATAAAGAATAGGACGAATGATTTAATTCAATACACATTATTTTTACTTAAAAAATATAAAAAAATATTTAATTTTCCTTTAAGAGAATGGATTGGAATACGATTTATTGGACTAATTCTCTCAACCGGGCTCAAAAAGATTTAATTCATGAGGTATATTATTACCTAATGGGCTGTGTCACTATTCTTTATGCCAACAAATTGGATTTCATGAAGAATGATGTGGACCGTGTGATGGCTTGGTCCTCTACCCTGAAGTGGACTCCTCCCAAGAACTATAGGGTCTTGGGGTTCTTTAAAATATGGGTGTAAGGTGTTGCTTAATTGTTTTTGTAAATATGGGTATGCCAATTTCTTTCTTTTAATTTCCTTTTTTATTGTATAAAATTTTCCCAAGGGTTCTGTCTTCTTTTACCCAAAACAAAATAACCGATCACAATAAATGTCTTTCTTCTAGAGTTGTTCATGTAAAAATAATAAATCAGATATGGAACATGCACTTGTTTGGCAAGCCTTTCTTTTATAAATAAATTTGGATATAGACAAAATCAGATATAGAACATGCACTTCTAAGTAGGACCCCACAAACACATCAAGACCAATTTATACGTTACTAGTAGTGTACCCGCGCAATGCGGCGGGATGTGAAATTTTGAAAAGATGTAAACGGACATATAGATTA